TGAATTCCTTGAAATTCTCCTCCTCCTCCTTTCCTGTCATCTCTATACATAATGTCCTGGGAAATGGTAATTTAGATTATCTTTTTAGTAAAACTAAACTAATTCTACTTTTTTCTTCTACTTTTTAGACTCCTCCTTAAAACCCTTCAAAACTTTCCATTGCACTTTGAATGAAATTTAAACTCAGCATGATCTTCCTGCATGTAAAGGCCTTTGCTTACTTCCCTGACCTTACCTCCTGTCACATCATACTGTCAGTCCCATTGTGATCTGCTTTCAGGTCCCCTCAGGCACCTGAATTTCTTTCCTAATGCACTGTTCCTTCTGTTGGTAATCATTTGCCCTTTCTTTTCCTTATGTTTTAGGTTCAGGTTTCAGATAAAAAGTTATCTCCTATGGAGAGGTCTTTTCTGATGATCTCTTAGCCTGCCAAAAAGGATAGTCATCCATTCTGGTTCTTCAGTCTATCTCAATAACCTGTTTGTTGTTTTCATTATACTTTCTAGTTTGTAACTCTGTTTATTTGTGTGGGTTTTTTCCCTTTCTGCTTCTGTCGTGAGACTATAGACTTCATGAGGGCAGAAACCACATCTATCTTGTTCTATCTCCAGCGTTTAGCACAGACCCCGTCATCTATAGGACAATAATTATTTGTTGAATAAATAAGTAGGCTTTAATGTTTCAGTGTGTTTCTGTTACAGGATTAAACTTGGAGTTAAAATATTTTTTATTGAGTTATAATTCAGATACCGTAAAATTTCACCCTTTGAAAATATAAAATTTAGTGGTTTCTAATATATTCGCAAGATTGCACAACCATCACTACTGTCTTAATTCCAAGACATTTTTATCACTCCCAATCTCCCTCCCCACATCCCCTGCCAACCACTAGTCTACTTTCTGTCTTTATGGATTTAAGTGTTCTGGACATATCATATAAAATGGGATTTTATAATATGTTATATTTAGTGTTTGGCTTCTTTTCCATAATACTCTCAAGGTCTGTTCTGTAGCATGTATATTACTACTATATGCTGTATGTGTTGTATCATGTATAATACTACTACTGCGTCTTATGGCTGAATAATATTTTATTACATGGATATGCCATGTTTTGTTTAACCTACGTCAGTTTAGAGACTCTTCTATTATTTCCACTTTTTGGCTATTATGAATAATGCTGCTCTGGGCATTCGTGCACAATTTTTTTTTTTCACTTCTCTTGGGTATATACCTAGAAGTGGAATTGCCGGATCACATGGTGGCTCTGTAATATTTTGAGGAACTTAAACATTTTTCCCAAGTGCCTGCATCATTTCATATTCTCACCAGCAGTATACAAGAATTTCAGTTTGTCTCCACCGTTGCCAACACTTGTCTTTTTTCTTTCTTTTTTTTTTTTTTTTGAGTTATGTCTGTTCAGATCCTTGCCCATTTTTAAAATTGGGTTTAATTGGGCTATTTGTCTTTTAGTTGTTGAGTTCTAGGAGTTCTGGGTATTAGATTCTTATCTGACATATGGTTTGCACATATTTTCTTCCATTCTCTGGTTGTCTTTTCACTTTCTTGATAATGCCCTTTTAAACACCTAAGTTTTTAATTTTGATGAATTCCACTTTATCAGTATTTTCTTTTATTACTTATACTTTTGGAAAGTTATCTTAGGAAACATTGCCTCATCTAAGATCATGAAGATTTATACCTGTTTTTCTTTATGAGTTTTATAGTTTTCAAATTTATATTTGGGTCAGCATCATTCCTTTGTACACAAATATTTAATTGTTGGAGTTTAGTCTTTTTAAACTTTAATAGAGAGTTACAGTTTTCTCAAAATTATTATGAAACAAATATGTTTCATATTTACAATTTAAAAAATAAAATATGGAGTGCATACTGTGTACCAGACATTATGCTGGACATAGGATCTGTAAAGATAAAAAAATATATAATTCTTACCTTCAATCTCTCAAAGCTCTGGAAATCAAGCAAACTGAAAACTGAAAGTTGTCGTAAAATTTTGAGGTTACTAATTGTTTTAAAGAATTGGTTTTTGAGAGATTTTATGTGAAAGTAAGATGACACTTATGGTAAAAAAAAAAAAAATATATATATATATGTATATAGTCCTGAAAATTGCTATAAAAAGCACTTGATGGTGGTTGCTTTGCAGTAAGAATATTTTACCTTGATTAGTACTCTTAGAGTTATTTGCTATTAACTTAGTAATTTTGGGAGTGGTAGATGAGAAACAAATGGTCTGCCATCCACAAATGGAAAGTAGAGATAAAACTGTAACAGAAATGACAGATCTCTCATTAATCTCTCGCTCTCCTTCTCTCTCTCTCTCTCTTTAGTATAACTGACATATTAATATTTATTTAACTAAGAGCAAAGGGTCTTTACAGCTGTACTCTCTGAGTCATTCTTTGCCAGTTCTGGATTTTTTTCCCCCACCCTTTCATCTTTCTTCCTTTTTTTCCTCTTGATGTTAATCTTATGTTTGTTGATAGATCTTTCTAATATATTTACACAAGATTTCTTTGAACTAAATTTAGTCTTTTGTGACTAATTGAATTGATAGTTTTGGAACTGATTGACATTAGGACATGTTGGGGTTTTTTCCCTAATAATACAATAGAGGATAAAATTAAAATTTTTAAAAAGTGGGTAGATAAGTAGAGTAAGACATTGCTCTTATTCTAAATAAACTATAGCCAGATATATTATAAAAGCAGCATCTGGAAAATTCCCAGGCTGTCTGGTTGTTAGGACTCAGTGCTTTCACTATGGGGGCCTGAGTTCAGTCCCAGATATGGGAACTAAGATCCTGAAAGCCATTTAGAGAGGCCAGAAGAAAAAACAGAGTAGCATATGTTACCATGGAGCATCTTTTAACTCAAGGTCAGTTTTTCAAAAAGCTTTGACCTGCTTTATTGTTTGGAAAAATAATTCTCGCTGGCCTTGGGCAGTTACAGCCTTTATTGTACCTCAGCTGCTAAGCTTACATGAGGAACTTAAAGTAGCCATCCTTTCTTTACTGCAAAATTAGTAGAATCCTGCATAAACTGTTCAGTTCTAAAGCATAAGAATAGAGAAATAGTAGTGCTATTTTTTTTTACATTTTTGTTTTCAAATTAAATGAATAGATTCAACATGCTTTTTAAAGCTTCATTTTAAGCTTTTGTTTTCTTTAAAATATCTCTGGAATTAGTGTGTGTATGCGTGTATGTGTGTGTTACATACTAGCTCAGTTCAGTCGCTCAGTCGTGTCCGACTCTTTGCAACCCCATGAATCGCAGCACGCCAGGCCTCCCTGTCCATCACCAACTCCCGGAGTTTACTCAGACTCATGCCCATAGAGTCGGTGATGCCATCCAGCCATCTCATCTTCTGTCATCCCTTTCTCCTCCTGCCCCCAATCCCTCCCAGCATCAGGATCTTTTCCGGTGAGTCATCTCTTCACATGAGGTGGCCAAGGTATTGGAGTTTCAGCTTCAGCATCAGTCCTTCCAATGAACACCCAGGACTGATCTCCTTTAGGATGGACTGGTTAGATCTCCTTGCAGTCCAAGGGACTCTCAAGAGCCTTCTCCAACACCATAGTTCAAAAGCATCATTTTTTTCGGCACTCGGCATTCTTCACAGTCCAACTCTCACATCCGTACATGACCACTGGAAAAACCATAACCTTGACCAGGCGGACCTTTGTTGGCAAAGTAATGTCTCTGCTTTTTAATATGCTATCTAGTTTGGTCATAACTTTCCTTCCAAGGAGCAAGTGTCTTTTAATTTGATGGCTGCAATCACCATCTGTAGTGATTTTGGAGCCCAAAAAAAAACCAAAGTCTGACACTGTTTCCACTGTTTCTCCATCTATTTTCCATGAAGTGATGGGACCAGATACCATGTTCTTAGTTTTCTGGATGTTGAGCTTAAGAAATACTATTTCTCTTATTTCTGGAGGGGTGAATTATTTAAGGATTTCCGGGATTCTCCTAAGATTTGAAGCATCTGAGGAATGTAAAAGAACCTATACTTTCTCTGGGCATTTCAAGCTTAGAGTGCCCTAGAGATCCAGAAATAAGATAGTTCTAAATTACAGTTAGCATCTGGAGTCTAATCAGAGCTCAGTTGGGCAAGAAACATACCCTTTTTAGCCTTGGGGTTCCTGAAGATATATATATCTGTACTACAAGATTGAGTAAATCAATATGCTAGATGACAACTCACAAAGTGGATCCTGCCTGCAAAGACATACATTGATTGGCCCACACAGTGTTTTTAAAATATCTAGATTTTTGACTTCTCCCTGAAAAATTGGAAGATCTGACAACCTAGGCAACAACTAGCTAGATGGACTTGTGCTCTGCTGTTAACTAGAATCCATACCACTACTTATCCTGAATGTGTCAGTTGCCATTTATCACCACTCTTGCACAGTTACCCACATACTTAACTCATTTATGTTCCTATCCAGCAACTGAACATTTGGAATATCTAATTTATAACCATCAGTCTACATCTCTTTCTCTATGTCTGGTGCAGCTAAGGTAAAAATGAGTAGGTAGGTAGAACAGTCAACTCATTTTTTTCCAGAAACCGTTACATATTCATGTCTTCATTTTCTTCTGCATTTTTAAATGCAGTATTAGTCTACTCTCTGCTGAATCTTATTCACTTCACCTTCCAGTACCTTGAGTCTACTTTGATCACTTCTGTCTGCAGTAGTGTCTTCTGAAGTCTTATGAACACTTATTTTCTCCCCCACTATAAATTTATTATAGTAGAGATTTAGAAAACCTCATTCAATTTAAAAAATTGTGTGCCTATGAAGAAGCCTTTGATTAACCTTTACTTAGTATGGTTCACAAGTTCATTTTTTCAAAGAAATGCATATATTTTGTCATTTTGAAGACTTAGAAAGTATTAGTAACTTACATTTTTGTTTCCCTAGTTGGTCTTTGGACATTAAATTTAAATATTGTTTTCTTTGCTTTCAGTTACAGATGAGGACACAGTAAAGAGGTATTTTGCCAAGTTTGAAGAAAAGTTTTTCCAAACCTGTGAAAAAGAACTTGCCAAAATCAACACATTTTATTCAGGTAAGCAGTTTTTTGGTACAACATACAGGAGACAATTTCTGCTGCTAAGGAAGGAGAAACTCTACCATGTCATTGTTGAAACTTCTGACCATTTTTAGATTGGGGCTTTTCCTACTATACTGCAATTAAGCGATATATTCTTTAGCTGAGGTAGGAATACATATGGTACTTCACTCTTTGAGCTTTGTATGGTCACTGCCCAATTCTCTTGCAGTTGTAAGGATTTCAGGAACTCATTATGAATCGATACTTTGATAAAGCTTCACCATGGCCCATTCCCGAGTATTAAAGAATCAGAAACGTGGTTTTACCATTTCTTTCAGAGCTTAATGACATGGCTGCAGATTATTAACTATGTCACTTTTAATGCCTTTCCATTGCATGAAACACTCATATGTCACTCTCTAGGATATGGCCTCCAGAATGGCATCTACCGGATGCGATTGGAGTTGAGATGAAAGTATTAGAACTTACCTCTTTATGTCTGACCCTTTAACATTTTGTTTTTATATATGTATTTACCCCCTACTCCTTTAACATCTGTCTGCTTTTCCATCTCACAGAACTCTAAATCCTTGACTCCTTCATCCTGTTCCAGTTGACCAGGGTCCTCCCCAAATTACTTTCATTTCTATCAGTCCTTGTGCTTTTAATCCCTTCACCCTCGCTGCCTTATATTGATTGCTTCTGCCTGGCAAAACTCGAGTTCTGTAGAGTTTTACCAGCCTTTTACCGTCTTCATTCCTACCCCACGGCTGCTTAGGACAGTTGGGGGGGCGGGGGTGGGAACATATAGCAAAACAAACGTGAACCACTGTAAATTCATTATTGCATTCTTAACTATGTTCTCAAAGCTGCCTGTGAGTCCTACTCTGCCCTTTTCCATACTCCAGAGTGCTTTTCTAAACCCCATACCATTTTTTTGAATTATCTGACCCAACCATCCTTCCTATCATGTTCATTATACATCCTTCTTCACAAATAAAAATAAAGACTTTTAGTTCCTTATTGGTGTGTACTACTTATGCAGATCTATGCCACTCCCCTCCCCTCAAATACCTATAGACATTCTTACCCTTATTTATTTTCCTCCAATATTTGTAGAAAAGATATATCTCCTCAGTCCATGGCAAATTCTATAACTAATGACTGAGTTTCAGCTCCTGGAGACCTTGTTCCAGAAATTATTTCCTCTAAGACTTATTGAATAAACGGTCTCCTTAGCAGGTCACTCCTTTAAACAGAAAATAAATTTAAAAAGGAAGCAAATATCTAAACTCTGTGTTTTCCTTCTCATTTTTTACTTATGGCTGGATTTCTTCCGAGGCAGAGGGAGCAGTTTATGCAAAGGCACAGAGCTGTGAAAGGGCATAGCATATATACATGTCCTTTTCACTTTGTTACAAGTATGTAGAAGGCAGAGACAAAACAGAAATATTATTTGACACCATGCAAATGCATAGCTTTTCAACAAGGGTTAAAAATGTACAGCAGAAATTACAGTGTTCAAAGAAATTAGAAGTCAGAGGATAAAGAGGAATCAGGATATAGACAGATGAGAGGGCAGCCATATAATGTAGAGTGAGGAAAATGGAGACTAAAAGAGGAAGGCATTTACAAAGGAAAGAGTGTTTAGACTAAGAAAAATCCATTGGATATGATCTAAGGTTGTAAATGAGAAAAATACAAAGTCAAGTTCATTAGCATTTTTCTCTTACTATAATTTTTCTAGGAAGGCTCTCTGAACCCAGCTCTAATTAAGTATAAACTAGATTACAAAAAATAGGTAATGTTTTTTGATTTCCAAAGAAAATTAAATATCTGCTCTTAGCAATAGTTAAATACTTAGTATATTTTGAGTTGCAATAAAAAATGCATGCAAGGCTTCCCTGGTTGCTCACTAGTAAAGAATCCACCTGCCAATACAGGAGACATGAGTTTGATCCTTGATCTGGGAAGATCCCACATGTCACAGAGCAGCTAAGCCCATGAACCCCAACTATTGAGCCTGTGCTCTAGTGTCTGGGAGCCACGATTATTGACCCCATGTGCCCTAGAGTCCATGCTTGACAACAAGAGAAGCCACTGCAGTGAGAAGCCCGCACACCACAACTAGAGAGTAGCCCCCGTGTGCCACAACTAGAGGAAAGCTTGCATAGCAGCAAAGACCCAGCACGGCCAAAAAGAAATTAATACGTAGTTATTTTTTTTGAATACATATAAATTATGACTTCATCATACAGACAGATGTGTGTGTTTTATGTATGTTTGCAAACATCTATATATGTGGCTATGTGCAATATATTTGATTAAAAATATTCTCATGAAACAATACTTATTCTTACTACTTATATTCTTTATTCTCTATTTGAATTTTTAAATGCTAATTTATATACACTAAATTGCTTTCTTGATTGTGTATTGGGTTACAACCCTCAGTTTGAAAAATGATATCTTAGACTTGGTTACTTTTCAAAGATAATTTTAGGCTTTCTACTATTAAAAATTTGGGAGCTATGAGTTAATGACTTCCTATCTGTGTGTGGTGGCAGAGCCATTGGAGCATGTCTCTTGATGTCATTAAGCAGGAGGTACAGATTGACAGTCTTCAGACTTTTTGCCAGGTCAGGAAGTAATGGGTAATATGAAGACATGACTGACAGAAATAGAATTTGGCACTTATCCTAGATGGTATCATTTTCCTCCTTATTTAGCTGCCTTCTCTGTGGCAGATTGTCTTGTAGACTGCAAACCTCAGATATTAGGGCACATGAAAAACTGTTAATCATATAGGGATGAGTTCATCTTTTAAACCCTACCTCTGCCCAGTCACATCTCACAAATTATTTAATGGTCAGTTAAAAATGGTTATTTTTAAAGTGAGATCTAGCATTGATTGAGGGCTTCCCAGGTGGCTCAGTGGTAAAGAAATCTGCCTGCCAAGGCAGGAACCGCAGGAGATTCGGGTTTGATCCCTGGGTCAGGAGTAATCCCTGGAGGAGGAAATGGCAACCCATTCCAGTATTCTTGCCAGGGCAATCCCATGGGCAGAGGAGCCTGGTGGGGACACATGGGGTCACAAAGAGTTGGACACCACTGAGCAACTGAGCACAGCCTTGGCTGAAACCTTGAAGCACCCCCAGAAATGCTGTAGAAGCCAAACCAGTGAAACAGTGTGAGTACTACTAAAATACAGATGCTGATTTTCATACCAAGTCTATCACTTATCAATTGTTTTTTGGATTTTGAACTTTATTAATTTTTTTTAAGATGTATGTAACTTTCCTACGCATCTACGTATGTACCTGTAAAATGAGCAAAGTGATTCTCAGCCCTCTAGGGTTTCACATGTAAACAATCAAACTGTTCTCAGTATTTCAGAAAACCTAATGTAAGTTTTTTATTTCTTATTACATATTTTTAGCTAATAAGGTAGAAGTGTTTTTTAGAGTTACAGATTAAATCTTCATGGATTTATCCATGGAAGGCCATTGATAGAGAGGGAAATTTTTTAAAGGTGTCCTTTTGATGATAACATTTTTGCTAATCCCTGACCTAGAAGTCTTCCAGCTGTTTTCTATTACTGAAAGTGGTATCAGTCAATACAAACTGAAGGTTGTAGTGCTAGAAACTTTTTTTTTTATGATGGCCAGTACTTTTCTTTTCCATTGGGAGTACAAGTTACTTCATGTCACAAATTTCTCTTTTCTTGAACCAGTTTGCTTTCTCCCTCCATTTAAAATACTTGGCTTCTAAGGAGTATTTTTGTGTGCTTACATTTAAAAGAATCTTAGACTGTATCTGTTGCTTTCAGTATTCCACAATTAAAACAGGGAAGTCCTTTTAATTGGTTGGAATAATTTATTTTATTTTTTTAAGTGTTCACAGCAGCTTTATTTAACATAGGTCAAACTAGAAACAACCAAATATTAATCAGCAGGTAAATGGTTGAACATATAGTTTATCCTTACAGTGAAATACGTCTCAGCAGCAAAAAGCAACACGTTACTAGAACATACAGCATATGGAGGCTCTTAAAAATGTTCACAGAGTTAGAGAATGCTCTGTTTAAAATCAATAACTAACAAGGACCTTCTGTATAGCACAGGAAACTGCTCAAAGCTGTGTGACAGTCTGGATGGGAGGGGAACTTGGGGGAGAATGGATAATGTTACATGTATGACTGAGTCCCTTCCCCATTCACTTGCAACTATCACAACATTGTTTGCTAAAGGACTATACCCCAATACAAAACAAAAAGCCCCAAAATAAATGTCCTGCAGAGCAAAAGAAGCCAAACACCAAAGACTTTACATTATATCATTTCATTTACATTAAGTTCTAGAAAAGACAGTGCTACAGTGCTAACCTTTAGGCATATAATGGCAGAAAATAAGGAGTTTCCTAGTTGGGATGGGGGTGGGGGTCAGTAATTGAAACCAAATGGATATAAGGGAACTTTCTGGCATGAAGTATTCTATTTCTTGATTATAGTGGTGATGAGTCAAAACTCATCAAGCCATATGCTTAATACATATGCATTTAATTCTATTTAAGTTAGACATCAAAAGAGTTTATTTAATTTTTTAATTTAAGTGATAGTCAATTAGTATTAAGTGTCCAATTATTTCTGATTCCATATGCCCGGAAATCAGCAGTCAAGGGCAGGAATTACTCTGTTGTGGAAGTAATTGACTTACATTATCAAAAGGATATAGGGCTTCTTCTTATGCATGTGAGGACAGAGTTACAACCCAAACTAACCTTTTCTTTCTCTTTTCTTCTTTCTTTCCTCTTCCTTCCCTACTTGCTTTTCTTTTTGTTTCTTTCTAAGACTGAAAGCGTGGGGAATGCCCAGTCATGGGTAAAATAGTTTCAGGATTGAATCTTCACAAAAAAGGCAGACTATCATCTAAATTAGTGTTCTTTTAAACAATTGTAGCTTGCAAGCCAATAACTGGTGACTGCTGTCGGGTCATCACAAGCATTTTTTAAAAATATGGAAAGGATTATAGATTGAGGGCAAGAGGAGAAGGGGCGGCAGAGGATGAGATGGCTGGATAACATCACTAACTCGGTGCACATGAGTTTACGCAAACTCTGGGAAATAGTGAAGAACAGGGAGGCCTGGCATGCTGCAGTTGATGGGGTTGCAAAGAGTTGGACATGACTTAGTGAGTGAACAACAGCAAGAGAATATAGTAGAATGGAAAATATCAGAGTACATCTAATACATTTCTTTACTAATTTTATCTTTTAAAACTTTATGATGTTTGTTAATGTAGAGTTTTGCAAAGTACTATGGAAACAAACATGAAGATGCATAAATGGAAACATTTAAATTTGGTCTTTGAAAATGGGTGGGCATTTGCCAGATCCTTTGGCGGAGTGCATTTGGGAATGCTTTGTGAGAAGAATTGGAGTACATTGTTCCAAGAAAAAGGAAAAACCTATCCAGATGCATAATGCATTAAAGTCTGTAACATATTTGGGGGTAAGGAGGATAACAGGTAGTCAGCTGAGGCTGGAGTTGTAAGAAAATTAGTGCTATTGATTAGAGAGAAAAGAATAGAAGAATAGGTTATTATTTGCACACATAGAGGTTTTAGCCTTAAGTATATGAAATTGTAAGAATTTCAGGTCATAAGATTTCCACATAAAAGCAGTATAAAAATTGCATGTAATATAACAAGATTACCTGAATCATCTGTAATGGGTCAACATTCTCATAAACTTACTTTGTATCTCAGGTAACAGTGAAGTCCATAAATTGAATCTGCAAGATGATAATATTTAAAGACAAACAAACAAAGTGTTCTAAGACATTTACTTTATTTAATCAAGAATTATTCTTCATTTGCATGACAACATAATAGCTTTGCTATTTTGAAGATGCCTTGTATTTCTAAAACAACTTTTCTAAAAGTAAAAAATATGTATACAAATCTCATTAAAACTAAAATAGATCTTGATAACCTTTTTTTAGCTTTTTGAGGGGATTCAAGTGATTTGAAAGTTCTTGAATGGTTATTGGAAATTTTTATCAAATATCTTATTATAGGAGAGGTTATAGAATAAGCAGATATTATAATAGTAATCTGTTCTTATTCAGAGTGTGACTTGGTTCACTGGCATGAATAGAAATTGGAATTTATTGCCAAAATAGACAATTTTCATCAGTATTTATAAAATTGCTTAGGAATATTCATTTTTATTTTTTATAACTATTGATAGACCAAATATATTTTATATACATATTTAATACTTTTTTCTAGATTCTCTGCTATTCCATTCATTTAAGCTTTTGGGGTAGCTCAGCTGGTAAAGAATCTGCCTACAATGCAGGAGACCCCGGCTCAATTCCTGGGTTGGGAAGATCTCCTGGAGAAGGGATAGGCTACCTACTCTAGTGTTCTTGGGCTTCCCTGGTGGCTCAGATGGTAAAGAATCCACTTGTAATGCACCTGGGTTCGATCTCTGGGTTGGGAAGATCCTCTGGAGAAGGGAACAGCTACCCACTCTGGAATTCTGGCCTAGAGAATTCCATGGACAGAGGAGCCTGGCAGGCTTACAGTCCATTGGGTAGCAAAGAGTTGGCCATGACTGAGCGACTTTCACACTTTGAAGTTTTTGGAGGTCTGACTCTAGAAAACAGTGATATCATTAAAAAATAGACGTGGACACTTGGTGTCAAAAAGGCAGTCTTTCTCATCCTTTTAAAACCTATGCCCCTTTGGATAAGTTTAGAACTCTCATAACTGTAGTAATATTAATTTTTTTTTAAATTTCATATGCTTTATCCTCTGCACTCCCACCTAGGGATTCTCCCTCACATGCTCTTCTAGATAGTCTTGTCCTTGAGAAGGAGAATCACTAGTTTAAAGAAAGTAACAAAATAACCCTTGAAGTTTTTATTTTTCCTTATGTCTGTGTAGGAACTTGAATTAGTAGAGAGAACTTTTTTCCTACATAGTCATTCATTCATGCAACAAACATGGATTGAGCCCACGTTTGCAAAGATGAAGATGATAGTCCACACAAAACTTGTATGTGAATCTTAACAGCAGCATGATTTATATAGTGAAAAGACTTAAAAGAAAAGTGAAGTCACTCAGCCGTGTCTGACTCTTTGTGACACCATGGACTGTAGCCTACCAGGCTCCTCCTTCCTTGGGATTTTCCAGGCAAGAATACTGGAGTGGGTTGCCATTTCCTTCTCTGGGAAATCTTCCTGACCCAGGGATTGAACCCTGGTCTCCTGCATTGTAGGCAGATGCTTTATCATCTGTGCCACCAGGGAAGGCCTAAAAAGACTTAAAAACAATCCAAATGTCCATGAACTGATGAACATTTAAACAAAATGTGGTATATCCATACGGTAAAATACAGTTTAGCAATGAAAGGATATGTAGAATTTGAAAATTTTCAGATGTAAAATAAAGCATATACTTATTATGACTGTAGACATAAAAGAGTGAATCAAAACCATGAGCAGAGTAGAAGCTATCAAAATTGACTTTTAAAAATAATCAATTAGAAATTTTTAAATGATAATAAAATTGCTTACACTATGAATTGGGCAGACTTTAAGAGAGAATTTATAAAATGGAAGGTAGAGCTGAAGTACTCAGAATGCAACACAAAGAGATAGAGAGGACTATACAAGACATGTAAAAAACAGAACAAGAAGGTCAAGAAGTGGTAGTTGATATCGATGATTTTCTTTTTCCACTGCCCATTCCATATTTCCTTTGCCCTCGGCCAGTATCTTAGCTGGTGAGGATTCTTTACCAGGTGGGATAACCCAGACTTTAATTCTTAAAGGGGCTGAATCCTTATTCTGTCTTTTTTGGATTGCTTTAGTTTTCAGTAACTTTTATTATTGATCATTAAAGTCCTAGGATGTGTTCCAGAGAGTCTCCTGGGTTGCAGACACAATCCTCCTTGCTACTGTTGTGTTCCTTATTCCCCTTGGTAATCAGAAACACTTTAACCAGTAAACACCTTTGCCTTCTGATTTGGTGGTATCATGAGTCCAAAATGGCCAGATGGAAGTCTCATCTTCCAATTCAGTAGAACCATTGCTGTGTTCCTGTGAAAGAAGCATTTCCCTTTGAGAACTAACCAATAGGCAGAACTCAAGTTGCAGGTTGGGAGGCAAAAATTCAGTTCAGTTCAGTTCAGTCACTCATCAAGAGGCTCTTTAGTTCTTTTTTGCTTTCTTCCGTAAGGGTGGTATCATCTGTGTATCTGAGGTTATTGATATTTCATATAATAGAGAAAGGAGCCACTCCTACTCCCCCCTCCTGATTCCTAGATTATGTTTTAGCTGCCTTTCTGTCTGACTTACTTCACTTGCTGTAATAATTTCTCAGTTCATTCATGTTGCTGCAAATGGCAATAATTCATTCTTTATGGCTGAACAATACTCCACTGTATCTATATACCATATTTTTCTTACCATTCACCAGTTAGAGGATATTTAGGTTGTTTCCACTTTTTGATTATTATGAATACCAGTTTGTGTATATGTACAAGTTTTTGTGTGCATGTTTATTTTCAGTTTTCCTGGGTATATACTAGGAGTGAAATTGCTGGATCTTAAGATAACTCTACGTTTTAACTTTCTGAGAATCTCTAAACTGTTTTCCAGATTACAAAGCAGCTTGTACCGTTTTGTAGTCTCACTCTTAGCAGCTCTTAAATCTATGTCACCATTCTTCATCTGCAAAAAGAAAGAGTATACTTGAGGTTTTGCAGGGGGTGAAGTGTGGGCTAGAATGAAAGGAGACTATTACCCTAAAACATGTTTTTCCTATCTCTTTCTAAATATTACAATGCAGTGTTTTTTCCCTAGACATTTTAGGGAAACTAATTAGTAAAAATTCAGAAGTCAGTGAGAACTTTTGCGAGTTTTTTTATCTTGATGATCTGACAGTTCTGTTTTATTCCTTATAGAAAAGCTCGCAGAGGCTCAGCGCAGGTTTGCTACCCTTCAGAATGAGCTTCAATCATCACTGGATGCACAGAAAGAAAGCACTGGTGTTACCACGCTGCGACAACGCAGAAAGCCAGTCTTCCACCTGTCCCATGAGGAACGTGTCCAACATAGGAATATTAAAGACCTTAAACTGGCCTTCAGCGAGTTCTACCTCAGTCTTATCCTGCTGCAGAACTATCAGGTACTTCAGTTCTTATCATGGAGGATAGAACCTTTAAATGATAGAGAAATTACATTAGAATTACCTTGAGCTATACTAATGTGTCAATCCAAAAAGGGAAATTCTTAGCGTGTTATTCTTTCAATTCTTATTGGAATTTCATTTATTCTTAAAATCAGATATCAGAGATGATAAAATAATGTTAACAAGGCTTAGGTTTTGAAGATAATTTTCCCCACACTTTTTATATAGTATTCAGGAGTAACCCTTGACTCAAAGAGTAATAGTCTGCTACCTATTTTTAGAAGCATCTCTAAATAGTGAGTAGAAGTAAGAAATAATATATATCTACTCAATCACTGCTAGCTATGTAAGAACATTTATACCCCCACCTATAGCAAAATTTCCACAAAAACAACTGAACTGTTAACTTTCCTGCAACACAAATAATGTAAAAGATACTGACTTTTCAACTTGCCACTAAGAGCCCTTTCAGTTTTATTATCTGCAATATGACTATGACTATTAAAAAAAAGACCTGCAAAAGAAAATTTTAAAACCCAGTCTGAAAAGTTGAGCTACTATGTATACTAACTTATAGAAATGCATGGCATTTATTCATTTTCATGGCACTCAAAATTGTAAATTTGTTCATATAGTTAAATCTGTAAAGAACATATTGAAAAATAGATTATTTGTTCAATAATAATTAATTGGCAAAAACATCTCCCAAATCTTTAAAGAAACCTTATGTGCTGTTGTATTTCCATTTTATTCTTGTCACTATTAACTTCTAATCTAGTTAAGATCATCACTATATAAAAACTAGAGATTATATAATAAAAATATTACCATGGATGAATATTGGAATTTTAAAATAAAATGTAATTAAAGTGTCATGTCTGCAGTAATGTTAAGTCCTTAATGCATGTATTTATTTCCATCTTTCCCTTTCATAATTCTACTTTCTTTAACATTTCATATTTTATTAATTATGCTTATTGTTACAGGGAAGTACTCTTATTAAATTTTATTTTATTAATTTTGCCATAAGTTTTTGTTTTGGGGTCATTATTAAAAAATGCTTCTGGAAAAATAATTGTTCATAAAAGTTCTTATCTATCTTTTATCCTTTGAGACTATCTATACTGTAAGAATACATTTATTTTGCAAATGAGGAGAAAGGAAAATGTATTGTAACCAGTCTTCAAATCATGAGGTATCCTCCCCAAGGGGAGTTTAAAATGATCTATTAAATTATCAAAAAAAAGTATGAACAAACCAGCAAGCATGCAAAACCTAATTTAGAATAACTGCTCTTTTTTTTTTTTTAAACTGATGGGGATATATGATGAGGAAATTTGGGAGATCTGTTTTAAAGAAACTTGCAAATCCACGATTTTGTATTTTTTTCTGTTGATCAAAGAACAATAGAATTTGAGAATATAGAAAAGTATAGTATTTTTATATTGCTGAAATGGAGGAAAAGTACAAGTTCCTACTCATTATCAGCAAAGCTCTATAAATATGATCACTTCTTTTCCACTGGCTCTTTGCACACCCATTCCCAAACAGAATGTATGAAAACAAAATGAAAGTTAAGAGAAATAGATGATAGTCCATTTTCCATGCTTGTTTGTACATGTTTGCAGAGTAGGGGGGAGATGAATAGCTATACCAGTCCTTTAAAAAGCAAAGAACTAATAAATGTATTCAGTTCATGATATATCCAGAATATTTTCTGGATATATTTTTTTGATCAAAGAAGCAAAATAATATAAATTAGCTATTTTGAAAAGAGTTGTACATAGGAAAATGGAAATGAAAATGTTTTGCGTTTAGGACTTCCATTAATTTACATGAAACTAAAATAATAGGATTCATAATCTAGAGTTTCTTTGTATTATTAATAGCATACTACCTTGAAATGAATAAATGAAATAAGAAAGAAGAGTCTTATCTTTTTATAATAAATGCTTTTATAAAAGCATTGCCATTTCCCTTGGTGCTCAATCTTCATTCATCTCAGTCAGTGCAAAGTGCTTATTGGTTTTCATTTTCTCTTATAGTGGTGGAAATTATAGTAGTGTTTCTTATTTCTTTCTGTAGAATCTGAATTTTACAGGGTTCCGAAAAATCCTTAAAAAGCATGACAAGATCCTGGAAACATCTCGTGGAGCAGATTGGCGAGTGGCTCATGTAGAAGTAGCCCCATTTTATACATGCAAGAAAATCAACCAGCTCATCTCTGAAACTGAGGTACAGTCATCTCACTTATATACCACGTATTTTTTGATAACATTAAAGTCTTATTTTAAATGAGGTAATTCCTCATTTTTTTTCTCCTTTTGTTGTTAGTTGCTTTAAATACATATATTCTTACTCATGATTTTTCCTTTTGCTTTATTCAGTATATATTCACCAAGAGTATATCAGAATACCATATATATTAATATAAATGGTTCAGAATTATTTATGCATTACTCAAATTTAGTATAACCTGCATAAATATTTAACAATGTGTCTTTTAGGCTGTAGTGACCAATGAACTTGAAGATGGTGACAGACAAAAAGCCATGAAGCGTTTACGTGTTCCCCCTTTGGGAGCTGCTCAGGTTAGTATTTGCAGTTGTTCATTTGGTTCATGTGACCTATTTAATAATCAACACAGTCTTTTAGGGGGCTTCCCAGGTGGCGCTAGTGGTAAAGAATCCACTTACCAATGCAGGAGAAGCAAGAAATCAGGGTTCAGTCCTTGGATCAGGAAGACCCCCTGGAGTAGGAAATGGCAACCCACTCCAGTATTCTTGCCTGGAAAATTCCATGGACAGAGGAGCCTGGCAGGCTATGGTCCATGGGGCTCCAGAGAGTTGGACCTGACTGAGCATGTGTGTATGTACTCGTGTGTGTGCACGCACGCGCGCACACACACGCACACGCACACACACACACACACACACACACACACACAGAGTCTGTTAGGTGATAAAATATACTGGTTTCATTACTTTAAAAAATGTTTCACCCAAAGTTGGTGAGTACTTATTACTACTGTTATTTAAAAAAATCAGATGCCAGATCTTACTTCATAATAAATTTTAGTGTCTTCTGACCTTTATCTTCTTACCCTGTACTACTGCTCTTGTTTATTCTGACGTGCTAACTTCATGTGAGCAAATAATTAAGATGAGATATTTATTTGATGATATGAAAGTGGGGGGGTTCAGATATTCTGGGCTACTACATACTTTCATCCAAAATGCAATAGTTACGCATAAAAAGCATCTGTCAAATGATATCTACATAGTAGTTATACCAAAAAACAGTTTAAGTGATATCTTTTGTGTCATAAACTAAATCCTAATAAATTTAAAAGGATTTAAATCATAGAAAGTATGTTTTCTGACCAGAATGGGATGGAAATCAATAATAAAAAGAGCTTCTTCATCCCTGTTTAAGGTGTTTATGAAAAAACCTAAAACTGATATCATACTTAATGGTGAAACATTGAATGCTTTCTCCCTAACTGGGAACAAAAAAGTATATTCATTCTTACCAGTTCTATTTAGCATTGTTCTGGAGGTTAGGGCCAGTGCCGTATGGTAAGCAAAAGAAATTAAAGACAATTAGATGAGAAAGAGAGAAGTAAAACTGGTGGATTGTTTTGGTTTTGTTTTTTGCCGATGTCATGAGGACCTAATAGAAAATCCAGTGGATCTATAGAACAGCTATATGCACTAATTAGTGAGTTTATTAGCAAGGTTAATGATTACAAGATCAATATATAGATACTTAGGGATAAGTCTGACAGAAGATGTGCAAGACTTTTATATTGAAAACTGTAAAACATGATGGAGAAAAATTGAAGAAGATAGATGTGAGAGAAATTAGAAAACCAGGTATTTTTAAAATATTGCATCTTCCTAAGTTGTTTCATAGATGCATCACAAACAAACTCAAAATCTCAACAGACCTTTTTAAAAATAACTAGTAAGCAAATTTAAAAATTTATGTGAAATTACAGAGGACCAAGAAGAGCCAAAACAACTTTGGAACAACTAAAGTTGAAGGATTAACACTATGTGGTATCAACACTAAAGCTACAGTAATCAGGACAGTGTGTTGTTAGTGTCAGGACAGGCAAATAGATTAATGGAATAGAATAAAGAGTCCAAAAATAGGCCAATAAATATATGAACAATTAATTGTCAATGAAGATGCAAAAAGGCACTTCACTGGAGAGAGGATCGTCTTTTCAACAAATGGTGCTAGAGCAATTGGCTTTTTATCCCAAAAAATGGGACTGCCCTGGTGGCTCAGATGGTAAAGCGTCTGCTTACAATGCGGGAGACAGGTTTCAATCCCTGGGTCGGGAGGATCTCCTGGAGAAGGAAATGGCAACCCATTCCGGTATTCTTGCCGGGAAAATCTCATGGACAGTGGAACCTGGTAGGCTACAGTCTGTGAGGTCACAAAGAGTCTGACACAACTGAGCGACTTCACTTTCACTTATGAAATGATATTCTGAAATGCCTTTCACTTGAGAATCTCTAGGATATATTTACAAATTAACTTGAAGTTACTCTGGTTTAATACTGTAAGTACTGAGAAATGTATTCTTATTTTTACCATTGTCTCTAATTATATAGTACCAAATATGTGAACTCTAATTGAGTAATACTGACTTCCTAAATTTAAAGATGTACACATTGTAAAAATGAAATTGCACTTAAATCTTTTTTATAAGAAAACTCAGTGTTTATATAATTTGATGTTTTAGGTCTTAATTTTCTTTATTTAGTGACACGGATTTCTAAAAAATAATTAAACAGGTAACTCAATTCTAATATTACTGGATAATGATGTTCTCCAGCTCAGATTTATGAAAATTCCCATCATAAAATATTTGTTTTCTCTGTAGGACTTTGAGGCCTGTAGTACTAATTTTGTTATACTGTATGCTTAATGTATTCAGTATTTTGCCCTGTACTCAAAATGCCATTTCCCTCTCTATAGCCTGCACCAGCATGGACTACTTTTAGAGTTGGCCTATTTTGTGGAATATTCATTGTATTGAATATTACTCTTGTGCTTGCCGGTGAGTAGTTTAAATTTTGAATTAAATTATTCTTGCTGATCTGCTTATGTCATATTCTGTCCTAACAAAGCTACCACTCAACTGCCAAAGCTACTGAAACAGAAATCTGTCAGGGCTAAGTCTTTTGTTTGTATAACTGATGGGAGAGTGGGTGTTGGTTGGTTATTTTAGCTCTCTTTTTCCTTTTGGATATAGTTACCCCTTTAAACATTGCTAGTTTATGACTGTATTCTCCATCATTTTCAGGGTTCAGTTATCAGGAACCTCAGCTCCCTTGATCATAGATGAGAGTAAATAAATATTACAAAATTTACATGCTAAACAAGCTCATTTAGTTTGCTTTTTGGAGACTCTCTTGCATCATTTCTAGAACCTATTTACAATTACTTTGCATATGATTTTAAGAAACTTGGTTATATAATATTCTGTTCTATAGAATTTAAAAATTATAAAGAGGTAGGAAACAAGTGCATTCCCAATGTCAAGAAATGATATAACAAGGAAGGCATAATCTTACTAAACCACCCAGCAGGATTTGACTTACCTCTCAGCAGCATTTGACATTGTGGATCACTCCTTGAAACCTTTTCTTTAGTTGATTTTGTTGGGAAACCACACTCTGCTGGTTTTCTTATTAAACTTTGCTGGCAGTTTTTTCCCAGTCTCTTTTGCTAGTTATTCTTTACTTTTGGCATCTAAATATTGGGGAGTACCTCTGAGTTTAATGTTCAGATCTTTCTCTTTCTACATGCATTTTCTAGCTAGGTGATCTTATTCAAGCCTATGGCTAAAACTATCATCTGTATGCTAATAACTCCCAAGCTTATATACTTTATCCTCTGAAATGATATCTCATTGGCTACTTAGAGTCTAATAAGCATCTTAAACTTGGATAGACAAAGTTTTTTAATCACTAAATATGCTTTCTCTTCCATATAGCATCACCTCTCACCAGTTTCTCAAGCCAAAAACCTTTAACCTTTTCCCTCATATTCACCTCCAATCCATCACCAAATCCTGTTGCCCTGTCCTCAATAAAGTTCTGAATCTGTCCACCCCGACCAATACCATCCTTGTCTAAACAACCATTTGCTTAGTATACTGCAGCAACCTTCTGAACCTGTCTCTATGCAACCACTCTTGCCTCCTTATAGTTACCAGTGTCTTTCTGTGGCTTTTTTTTTTTCAGTGCTTTTTTTTTTCTCTAGTTCTGTATCTTTAGGGGTGAATGCAGTTTACTTACATAGAATGCATGGAAATACTAAAATAAAAAAGAACTTAGTCCTAGATTGATTATCAAGCTAACTGTTATGGGAAAAACATGGACTTATTTTCAAAAGGCCTTGCCTGGATTGCAGTCCCAGCTCAACTATTTGTTAATTATTAATTTGCTAATTGACTTTAAGGACACCACGTAAGTTCTCCAAAACAATTTCCTCACTTGTTAAATAAGTTTAATACCTTAAATTTACAACATTGTATGAGAATTCATTCAACAAGTAAATTTTATATTCTGTGATTAGGCTCGCTACCTTAAGATAAATAAGAGAATTACTTTCCTCATGAAGCTTATTGTTACATAAGGGAGATTGAGACATATTAAAACAATAATAATACACTACAGAATAGAAAGTATTTTCTAAACAGGTCAAGGGAACAAGTGATTACTTTCAAATGAGAGCTTCAGGGAAGACTTTATGAAAGAAATGGTATTTATCCTGGGCATTGATGAAATAAAAGGCATTCCAAGAGAAAGAGACAGATGAGCAGAGATTTAGTTGGCCTTTCTAGAGGGTGAAGCATAAGAGGAGGGAATAAGTTTTGAAGGAGAGAAGTGGTAAATTCACCTAAGGTGAAGAAGAGTATTAGATGATACAAATGAAAAGATACCTTGAAACCAGTTCATAGACATCAGCTAAGAGGTATAAGTAAAGCATTTATAGGTGTGAAATTCTATGTCAATTTGAAGTATATGTCATATGAGATGGAAGTTGTTCTTTCTATAGGAAAAACCTTACTCATCTGTGTGTGAAATTTTTTCTTTCCTTTCCAAGATGAGCATGGTGTTATCATTATTACCATCATTAAATAAGACAAAAGAATAGATAAATAAGCTTCATTCTTTTTATGTGAATGAATTGAAACGTTTTCTTAAATTCAGGGACATGTTGGGGGTTTGTTTTCTTTCATATATTTAGCCTGTGTTCTTGTGAGACAGTCTGATTTGTTTTCTAATGTGTGCTTTATGCATTTAGCATTATACATTTATGTTCTTTCCCCTCAGAACCCTTCTTTGTTTGATCTTTGTGTGTCTGTGAGATAAATATGGTTAAAGCCAGCTGTCTATCCTTAGTCATCTCCCAGCGGTTGCTTAAAAGATAACAGAGTTGAGAATTGAGAGAGAAACTCAGCAGTAGTAATGCATGTACAAGCATGATTCTTTTTTCAAACACTGACATAAAAAAATAGTGTGCATAATTGCTGTAATTCCTCAAGGGGACATGACCTAATATTTAATAATTTGTCTGAAACTCACATATTCCAGATATTTAGTGTTATGAAGATGAAAAGTTACCTGCTCAGATTTTTTAAAAAACTTTTTCTTGTAGTTTCCTGGTAACCTATATTTAATTGATATAATAATAATATGTCACATTTCACTTTTTGGTTGAACAGAGTTAAGAGTTGATCATTAAAAGTGCATGAGGGAAACCTTCTACACTGTTGGTGAGAATGTAAATTGGTACAGCCACTATGGAGAACAGTATGGTGGTTGCTTAAAAACTATAAACAGAGCTACCATATGATCTAGCAGTCCCACTCCTGGACATAAACCTGGAGAAAACCATAATTCAAAAAGATACATGTACCCCAGTGTTTGCTGCAGCACTATTTACAATAGCCAAGACATGGAAGCAACCTAAATGTTCATTGACAGAGGAATGGATAAAGAAGATGTGGTACATATGTATGATGGAATATTACTCAGCCATAAAAAGGAATGAAATAATGCCATTTGCAGCAACGTGGATGGGCCTAGAGATTGTCATACTGAGTGAAGTAAGTCAGACAAAGAAAGACAAATATCATATGATACCACTTATATGTGGAATCTAAAAAAAAATGGTATAAACAAAGTTATACATGTAAAAAACAATCTTATGGTTACCGGGGGAGATGGGAGAGAAGGATAAATTGGGAAGTTGAGATTGACATATACACACTACTATTTATGAAAAAGATAACTAATAAAGACCCACTGTGTTGCACAAGGAACTCTATTCAGTACTCCTGAGTAACCTATGTGATAAAACAGTCTAAAAAAGAATGGATGTACGTATGACTGATTCACTTTGCTGTATAGCAGAAAGTAACACAACATTTTATGTCGACTGTGCTCCAATAAAAAAAAATGTTTTAAGTGCATATGAGTGTGAAATAGCAAGTACTTGCATACTAGTGGTAAGAGTTATTAATTGTTGCAGTCTCTTTAGAAAGCTGGCAATATATATAAAAATTTATAATACAATCCATTTGATTAAACATATTATTCTTAAAAGTTTATCTTATAAACATACTTGTACCTGAGTGCAAAGACATGTATGAAAGGAGGGTATTCATTGCCATTTTGTTTATAATAGCAAAATTCTAAGAATGTCTCAAATGTCTATCAGGAACTGTTTTAAAAAAAATATGTGATCTGAAGTTTAAATGAAACTGCGTTAATGCACTTTAGAGAGGAGGCAAGCGCAAAATATTTTTTTAAAAAAAGATGCTGGATCGAAACATGTATATTATCTAGAGTAAAACAGATCACCAGCCCAGGTTGGATGCATGAGACAAGTGCTCGGGTGCACTGGGAAGACCCAGAGGGATCGGGTGGAGAGGGAGGTGGGAGGGGGGATCGGGATGGGGAATACATGTAAATCCATGGCTAATTCATGTCAATGTATGACAAAACCCACTACAATATTGTAAAGTAATTAGCCTCCAACTAATAAAAATAAATGAAAAAAATAAAATAAAGCAAACATACAAAAAAAAAAGATCCTGGAAAAAGTTGAAAGCATCCAATGAAATGATGTAGTTAGAAAGGCACAAAGATGGTGCATGAAATGCAGAAGAATAACATCAGCTTAAGTAAAATGAAAACTAAAAAACCAGGAAGAATAAGCCTTCCTTATACCTAAAACCTCAAATTGAAATCTTGTACCTATTCACTGTTCTGAAAGAGTTTGTTTTAGAAAGCATATTAAAAGTAAATATTTAATTTATTTCAAAAAGAATAACAAACAATTTCAGGAACATCTGTAGGCTGTATTTTAAATAATTGACTTGATCATATTTCATATGAAGCAGTTTGAAAATGATTCACCTAGTGACAAGGAAATATGAGTATTTGTGCTTCTTGTGAAACAGTCATCAGTATCTTCAAATATCACTTGTTCAAGCAATTTCATCCCATGTATCTCAGAACAAAAGAAAATTCTGTCATGGGGGAATACTGGTCAAAACTCCAAAAGAAATTACTGTGAAAGATTTCCAGTTCTATCTCATTTTGCATTTCATAATTATGCAAAAGCTTGATTTTGTTTGAGTAAGAAAAATGAATATCAGAAACCAAAATAAAATAAATTTAAAAAAATGACATTATTCCTATACAATGGAATACCATAAAGATATTAAAGTGAATGAAAGGAAATGGTTATAGTACTTTGGAGATCTACTTGGCAGTATCTACCAAAACTGAATATATGCTATACTGAGTTGTTTCTCCCTTTTGGCTAATGTGAATTTTGTTGCTTTGAACACATGTATACATCGATTTGTTTGAGTACCAGGTTTCAATTTTTTGAATATATATCTAGGAGTGGAATTGCTTAATTATATGATAATGCTTTTTAACCTTCTGAGGTGCCACCAAATTATTTTCTACAGAGGCTCCATCTTTTTCTGTTTCCACCAGCAATTTACAAGGATTCTATTTTCTCCACATTCTCATCAATACTTGGGAATTTCCTTTTTTTTTTTTTTTTTAATTATAGCCATCCTAGTGGGTTTGAAGTAGTATACTTATATGGTTTTGATTTGCATTTTTCTAATGACTAATGATATTAAGCATCATTTCATGTGTTTAGTATTTTCTTTGGAGAAATGTCTGTCCAAGTAATTTTGGTGGCTCAGAAAATAGAGTCTGACTGCAATGCAGGAGACCCAGGTTTGATTCCCTGAGTCAGAAAGAGCCCCTGGAGAAGGAAATGGCTACCCACTCCAGTATTCTTGCCTGGAGGATTCCATGGACAGAGGAGCCTGGTAGGCTTACAGTCCATGGGGTCATAAAGAGTCAGACCCAACTGAGCAACTAACTCTTTCTTTCACTTTCAGTGACTAATGATATTGAACATCTTTTCATGTGCTTATTGGCTGTTTGTATATTTTCTTCGGAAAAATATCTGTCCAAGTCCTTTGTCCATTTTTTAATTGAGTTGTCTTCTTATTGATAATTTGCTAGAGTTCTTTATATATTCTGGATACTAGACCTTTATCAGATACATAATTTGCAAATATTTTCTCCCATTTTTTAGATTATCTTTTTCTTTTCTTGATAATGTCCTTTGATATACAAATTTTTTAATTTTGATGAAGCCCAATTTATCTGTTTTTGATGTTGTGTTACTCATGCTTTTGGTGTCATATCTTAGAAGCCATTGCCGAATCCAACCAAAGTTCTGCAGGTTTACCCATATATTTTCTTCTAAGAGTTCTATAGTTTTAGCTCTTATATTTAGCTCATTCATCCATTTTGAACTAATTTTTGTACATGCTGTGAAGAATGGGGTCAACTTCATTCTTTTGCATGTGAATAACCAGTTGGTGAATAACCAATTGTCTCTGCATTATTTGTTGAAGAGAGTATTCTTTTTCATTGAATAGTCTTGGCTCTCTTGTTGAAAATCAATCAACCATAGATGTATAAATTTTTTTTTCTCAGCTGTCACTGTATTTCATTTGTCTGTATGTCTATGTTTACACCAGTACTATTTGGGAGTAAAATTTGAAATCGTGAATTGTGAGTCCTCCACTTTTTTTATTCAGTATTGTTTTGGCTGTTATCTGGGGACCTCTTATAATTCCATATGAATTTGAGTATCAATTTTTCATTTCTGCCAAAAGAAAAAAAGAGTCATTAGAATTTTGATACAGATTGTATTGAATCTGTAAAGTACTTTGAGTAACATTGCCATTTGAACAGTATCGTATCTTCCAATCCATGAATATGGGATTTCTTTCAGCAGTGTTTTGTAGTTTTTAGTGTACAAGTCTTTCACCTCCTTGGTTAGATTTATTCCTTGATGTTTTATTCTTTTGTTTGCTCTTGTAATTGAAATTATTTTCTTAATTTCATTTGATTGTTCATTGCTGGTGTATGTAAGGACAACTGAATTTTGTGTGTTGATCTTGTAGACTGCAATTTTGCTGCATTTATTAGTTCTAGTAGCTTAACTGCGTATTCTTTGGGATTTGCACTTATTTTTGTTTCCTGACTGTTGTAATGTATATGTGTTCTTTGCTTGGGAATCAGTATATAAAACTATATACACATTTTAAAAAAATTTTTAACCACCTAACTAATCTTCTTGTTAACATACTTATTCCTTTCTATTCTTAACATGACAGATAGAGTAGCCCTTTAAAATTATTAGTCTGGTTGTATCAGTTATATGCAAAACCTTTCATTTGCTTCATACATCTGAGTAAAAGCTTACATCTTGACAGAGTACTACACATCCTACCTCATATGCCTTTAGATCACTTTTTGCCACTTTACCTCTCATTCATTCCAGTCACAGTGGACATGGTCTTCTTCCTGTTCCTGGACTACATGAGGCTTATACATATCTTAGGGTTCTTTGTACTTTCCCTCTACTTGGAGCCTCCCTTCCTCGAGATACTCATACAAGTTAGTCTTTATTTCCTTCACATGAGTCAGTCTCTATTTCCTTCACACAAGCCAGTCTCTATTTCCTTAAGATTCCTGCAGATACCATCTTCCAACCACCCTACCTAAAATACACCTAACAGTCTTTACCCCTTTACTTTTTTCTTCAAAATTCTTACCTGACATTATATAGAATAGAACTTCCCTGAAGACAGTTATTTTGTCTGTTGCTCATTATTGAATCTCCAGGTTTTAGAATTATGTCATACATAATGAGCACCCCATAAACATTTGTCAAATTAATGAAAACATTGATTTTCATCAAGTAAAAGGAAAAAGAAACTGATACATACTGAATATTCATAATGGGCCAAACAGTGTTTTAGCCATTTATGCTGTTCAGATTTAATCTTCTTAACAAACTTATGAGAATAGATATTCTCCCCCATTGACCAACAAGGAAACTTGAGAGTTAGAAAAATTAAATATGCCCTAGTAAATATAAGACTTGAAATCTGGTCTATAGTATTTGACTCCAACTATAAAATTTCAAGTGAGTACTAACAGTAAATTTTATAGTTACTTGGAAAATTGAGAAATTGGTTGCCAAACTGAAATTTTTGGCACATAGGCTCAAAATGAAACATATTGATTCAGTCAATTTATGAACAGATGAGAATATGACTCTTAAATAATGTAGAAATAGAATTGGTCAAAAGAAGGAACAAGGCCGTTTCAAGTACAGGGAACAACTTAAGTAGATATGAAAAGTGAATTTGTTCAAACAATAATAAAATTTATCAGGGAGTAAAAATTAATTTAGGGGCACTATGGGATAAGTTTGGGGGAAGTGAGTTGGAGATCAGATTGTGAGGAACTTGAATCGTGAGGCTCACATGTTTGAACATTATATTTATTGGAGAGATATAGGATAGTAGTGATACTGAACATTTGTATGGGCATATGGACAGTAGAATGTAGTAATTTAAGAGTTTGGGCTTTGGAGCAAAACTGAGTTAAAATCCTGGCATTGCCCTATACTAGCTTGGTAACCCTGAGCAAATTATTTAACTTCTCTATGCTGTAGTTTCCTTGTCAATCAAATGGAGATAATGGTTTTTAACTCACACAGCCATTGTGAAGATTAGATAAATTGTTATATGGAAAGATACAATCCTTAGCACATAGTAAATAAACATTCTATAAATACTGTTGTCATCTATATTGACATTTCAGCTTTCACATTGCTTTCATGTATACTGTTTCTTATAATTTTCATAGTAACTCTGAGGTAGACATTACTATATCCAGCTCAATGATGGCCAAACCAAAGCCAAAGAAGTTGTGTCATGCCAGAAATTCTCAGCTGAGCTGATGATTCTAAGCTATTTCACCATGGATAAGTAGGCTGAAAGTCAAATTTTCCAGAAAAATTATTCTGGTAGAATTTTGCAGAGTGAAATGAAGAGAAGAACCTTGAAGCAAGTTTATCAGGCTCTTGAAATAACCTAGGATTGCATTTTGAATATTAAAAATTCCTCTGCCAGGGCTATATTATTGAGAAGAGAAAAGACAGTTAAAGGACATGTTGCAGATTTCCTGACTAACCAGTTAATTGATGTTCTTTCAGCTATATTTAAACTTGAAACAGATAGAAATATATGGCCCTTGATAAGAATCTATCGGGGTGGCTTTCTTCTGATTGAATTCCTTTTTCTACTGGGCATCAACACATATGGTTGGAGACAAGCTGGAGTAAATCATGTGCTCATCTTTGAACTTAATCCAAGAAGCAATTTGTCTCATCAGCATCTCTTTGAGGTAATCAAACCAGATATAATATCCTATGAATACAGTTTTCATTAGCTATGTGGCTGGTTTAGTGGGTACTAAACTCTGTTCTATTTGAAGGGGATTGTTGATGTAATAATTAAACCGTTTTTCTTATCTTTGTTTTTTTAAAGATTTTCTATTTAATGGTAAAAATAAAAATAATTTTCTTTGTTTTTGTCTTTCCCATCCTTTATCAGATTGCTGGATTCCTTGGGATATTGTGGTGCCTGAGCCTTCTGGCATGCTTCTTTGCTCCAATTAGTGTCATCCCCACATATGTGTACCCACTTGCCCTTTATGGATTTATGGTTTTCTTTCTCATCAACCCCACCAAAACTTTCTATTATAAATCCCGGTTTTGGCTGCTTAAACTGCTGGTAAGTCCAGAAATTTTGTTTCGTTTGTAGAGTGATATATTGATCATTGGCTTTCTCCAGAATGAAAACAAAACTCCTGTATTACCCAACTTCAGAAGTCATGTTCACATTGTAGTTTAAATGAGTGGTACCCCAGCTCCAGAAGTAAAGAACACAGTGTAACTGGTACACCTGATGTTGTGCAGTACAGTGGCCCCAAGGAAAGCACTCATGTATTTTTTTTTCCTCCATAATGGAGTAGAGTGTTGAGATATTACAGTGATTTTAGAAAGTGATAATAATTCATAATTAATTATTTTGCTATACAGATTACTTAATCAACTGTGATAACATGTAGAACTTTGTTTCCTTTTTTTTTTAAATTTTTTTTTCCATTTATTTTTATTAGTTGGAGGCTAATTACTTTACAACATTGCAGTGATTTTTGTCATACATTGAAATGAATTAGCCATGGATTTTTTTTTCCATTTATTTTTATTAGTTGGAGGCTATGTTTCCTTTTTTTCAAGTGGTTAAACTATTATATACCTGTTAAATTACCATAAGTCGTCAAATATTTTTATTTTGTGAAGTATTGGGTCTCTAAAAGCAGTAGGATTATCCTGTTAGATCTCCAAGTTTAGTTTGAAAAATTAACTTTTAAAATTCCATTTTACCTATTTCTTAATCTCAAAATCAAGCAGTCTTAGCATTAGGATATGAAATTTCCTCCAAAAATGGTAGCTATATTATACATTTGGGGATATTGTAAAGATTGCCCTGGGAAGGAACTCCTGCTTACTCTCAAATTTAACCAGCTTTGTTTTGAAAATAAGTTGAGAATGTTTTAATATAATTATTTCATAGATTATAAAATACAACTAACAGTAGAGTGAAAATTAGTAATTGGCCAGTTTCCACAAACTTTCAAAATTCCCATAATTACTGTCTCACTGTTTTTTTTAACCTTGTAAAATAATACTGCCTTGAAAACTATTAATTTTTATTTCTTTTCCTTTTGTATGCCCCTTAGGGTTAGCAGAATTTTTGTTGTTGTGCTTAGCAGTATACTCTTTACATATAGCATTAACTAAATTTTTTATATCTAAAAATATAAAATATGACCTTTCTCTTAAAAAAACATAGTAAGCACTAAACAAATTAAAAGCAACCTATGTTCCAATATAAGTATTTATAGCAATATGGAAAAGAAAATGGCCCAGATCTTGATTTCCCTTCTCCCCAAGTTGATTGTTCATTTATTTGTATTTATTTGTATATCACAAATTAAGAGTCTCTGTCTTTTCCACAAACTTTATTGAATATAAATAAATGGCAAATCATTCCCTTTAAGTATAGCACCACTGGGTCTAATTTTAAGTTTGTATTCTGAGTGTGGAACTTAGCTATTGAGGTGTGTAATAAGTCATATCATCACCTTTAATGTGTTTTGTCATCATCTAGAAAAACATGCTTTTTAGAGGAATTTTTTTGGTAAGACAAAAATTTGGGTCATTTTTTTTTCTCATTGGAAATTTATACTAAAAATAAATCATTTCCAGTTTCTACAACAATATTAGATTACCTTTGTTACTTTGAGGTTGTCATTTTATTTCTAGATTTTGTGTTATTTTCATAAAAATGTAATATTCTTCTGGTTACAAGGAAATAACTTCAAAATTATAAACACCTATTTTTCCTTCCTAAATGATTGTGAAATCTCTATAAAGTTATTTCAGATGAGATTTGGAAGACTTAGAAAATTCAGGTGTTAATATGATTGCATCATTACAATAACAAAATAGTACAGTTGTGTACATTATGTGCTAAGTGAGCATTTCCCCAGTGCATCCTTCTTTGTTTAAATAGGAAGCTGCTATGATTCATGCATGACCAGTTATTCTTATTAGTAGAATGATTCCCCATTGAGCAGATATTTACCTGTGCATCTGTTGTGTGTTAATAAATGAGAACTTGTTGATGGCATAGATTGGCAGCAACATTAGAAGAAGAAATAAGAGAATAGTAAAATATACTGTCAGAAGCAGTGACATACAGAAAGAAGCATTGTGGTTTGTTGTATTTGTAATAATTGTAAATAGTAAAAGCATTTATAGATTATTTAATATTAATTGACCTATTGACCTATTTTTAACTCAAATCTCACTGAGAAAATTTACTCTTAGATTTATTTCTAGTGAATTAACAAGAATGTTTCCATGGTAGTTATGTTTCCCTGATACAGCTGTTTTGAAAGCTTCATCCTAAAGTAAACTACATTTCCCTTTCCTGTTTTTTTCTTTAATTTTTCGTGGAAAAAGAACATGTCACCTGGCCATAGTGGTAGGCACTGGGCACCATTTATATTCATATTTTAATTTGAATTGATATGTTATTCCTCTCCCCAATTTTTAAGAAATTGATTTGTTTTGATATTAGTATTATATGTCAAACTAATAACAGTTTCTTTACATTCATTAGTTCATATATCCTCTATCCAGATCTGTATTTGTCCTCATTGTAATCCAATTAGGAAGCATAAAAAAATGCTTCAGATTTTCTAAACAAAGATATCAACTTATTCTTACAGAAGGCTGCATGAAGTTTTTAAATTAGAGTATTTTCCTATATTCTTTTGGAATTGGTTTTTCTAATATTTTCCTTAGTTGTATAACAAAATTTTTACATATATCTCTGGTATAAGTACAGAAATGTTCTCATTTAATAATGCATTTTCTGGGTATTTTTATGTGTATCAGTTATTTTGTGTGTGTTAGTTGCTCAGTTGTGTCCGACTCTTTGCGACCCCATGGACTGTAGCCTGTCAGGTTCCTCTGTCCATGGGATTCTCCAGGCAGGAATACTGGAGTGGGTTGCCATGCCCTCCTCATCAATTATTTTATTCCTTTTAATAAACCATGAGATTGGAACTACTATTAATCCACATTTTATAATGAGGAAACCTAAGTTCAAAGAACTTAAGTAGGGTCCTACAGCCAGGATGTAATGGAGATGGGATGTAAGCGCAGACATTCTGGCTCCATAACCTGTGTTTTTAAACACTACCATTTAACAGACCTGGTAGTCATTTTATGTAAGATGTTTAACTTTGATTAGTGGATCAACTAATGGAATCTTAAAATCAGATTTGAAAGAATGTGATTATAAGTAGAAATTAAGATTTCATCTCCTTAACTGTTTGTCTATATTAATTTGAAGATGATGTTAACATATATTCTTTGTAGTAACTTATTAGTTGCCTTTTTGTGTATGTGGGTAAAACATCAGATATCCAGATTGTTTCTAGCTTTCTTAATACTGTTTCTCCGTTATTTTAATTAAAATCAAAGCAAAGTAGAAGTTGAAAGACCTTAGCCATAATAAGAAAGGAAGGAGAATTCTCACTTAAAAGGGGAAATCCAGATAAATCTAAGATGAATTTGACTATGTGTTAGGGCCTGACTTATCACGGAATTAAGTATGTTCTGTTTATTTTCATCTTCATCTCTGCTCACTACACCTCTGACCAGACTACTTGCTCACTTCTTTTTAAATATTTCCAGGGTATTTCGTTTGCCTATCTGTAATTGCTGTTACTACATGGTGCTGTCAGTATTTCTTTTGGTGTTTATTTGCCCAAAGGGATTGTGGGTGGTACAGGCCATGTTTTATTTATTCAGTACCTTCACAATGCTTGACATATAATAAATACTTAATGAATCTTTGTTAAATGCATGAATATGATTAAGTTCATTGGTTCTCTTATACAAACATTAACTACTCCCTCTTTTCTTTATTTTTTCATCTTCTCTCTTCTGTAATCTTTCCCTTCCTCCCAGTTTCTATTTTATGCTACTCCTTCCCTTTCCTAGTCCATCCCTCTGTTTCTTTGCTTCTTATTTAATACACTCTCCTACCCTTCTGTTCTTACAGAGGTTTTCTCTAATAGCCAGGTTATAAGGGTAGGTTTGGCAGGTCGTGACAGTTAATGGTAGTCTGTCTCATGTCAGTGAGAAATGAGAAATTTGCTCTAGGCTACCAGTTTCACAAAAGTCCACAACGTTTCACAGAAGTCCACGATGTTTCACAAAATTCATGACTAGAGACTGATTGAGACTTCCTGATCCTTTGCTGTTACATCATAACTTGTTCCCTTGTTTCTGTCTCTTGGAGTCCTTTAAATCCATTCTATACCTAGAGTTTCTTAAAATATTATACAAACTGGTGCCAGAACCTCTTTGTGCATAAATGATTAACATCTCAATCCCTAACACCTCCTACCCTACCCTACTCTGCAAAAAAAAAAAAAAAAAAAGTTTGCTGTATCTGGAGCTTATGGTTGCAGATGATAGTATCTTTTCTGGCTTACTGAAAGAGTAAGCAAGTGATCAAAAGGTTGAACCATGGACTCAAAATACGTCAGCTCCGGAAAGTAATGTTTTATTTTATTTTATTTTATTTTTCGGAAAGTAATGTTTTAAAGCCTATATTGTATCCTGCGGACCCCTGCTCTAATTTTTAAAGCTCCAGGATAGCTGTTGCCCAGGATTGATTTGTAACAAAACCGTTTATTGTTTCCCTGAAATAATCAAAGAAATTATTTAGAGAAAGGATAGAAAGAACCAGCCAAGTCTGAGAGAAGAGGGCTGTTGTCTCCCAGGCTGGATATGTCTAGTAAATACCTCGATGGCAGGGGAGCTGTAGACTCATTTTTTCAAAACAGTTGCTTAAGAATTCCGTGTTTTAGGAGTTCCATTTTCACCTGTGTGAGATAGAAAGGGCCTAACAGGGTAAGAAGGAAAGCTGCCTTCAGCCCATCTTCACTTCACTCAAGGCCTTTCAAGGCAAGTTGGTACAGTTTGAACCTCTTTCTGGTGTAAAGTGTCTAACTCCTCCCTCTGCGATGCCAGGATTTTCCTTTGCAGTGGTAAACAGGCTTCCACAAAATAGGGTTAGAAGGCATTATCTTCTGTAAAATGGGGATATAGATAACACCTAGCACATAGAATTTGTTATAGTTAATGGATTATAAGAAATGCATCATGAGAAAAATACACAGCATGGATTAGTGTTCAAGACATATAACCTGAATTTATTTATCGTTTTCATAATAGTGGGGTGTGGGCTGATTTTTGTGACGTAATTTCAAGACAGATATGATCATTGCCATGGCATTAGCGAAATGAAACTGACTTTGGTGAGAGAATAAGACATACTTTAGCCAAGGTACTATCTTTCCCTTCCTACCTTTTGTAGGCAAAGAAGAGCTTTGTATTCAGTTAGCTAAGATGAGAGAATATTCCAGAAATAATCATAGCACATGGGTCTCCAGCAAATTTATCTTAGACCTTAATGGTAAACGTCCTCTCAGTGCGTTTCTGCCATTCTCTCTGCTTTCAACTTCAGCTCTTCCCACCTCTCTGCTTTCTGTTTTTTGACTCTTGCTCTTCCTGCCTTCCCCCCGCCCCACCCTTTAAATTTCTTTCTTAGTGATCTATTCAACTCATTCTTTTCACTACTAATTTTAAACCTAACTATTGTTGCCAGGTACCCTGTGTTTGTGATTGGTTCATTGGTTTCCATTTTATCAACTAAATCATGCTTCAGAGTCAGACACAAATTAGATAAATTTAATATGAATTTTCTTGTTTCTTTGTTTTCTGGTTTTTTTCTTTCTCCTAGTTCCGAGTGTTTACAGCCCCCTTCCATAAGGTAGGCTTTGCTGATTTCTGGCTGGCCGACCAGCTGAACAGCCTGTCCGTGATACTAATGGACCTGGAGTACATGATCTGCTTCTACAGCTTTGAGCTCAAATGGGACGAAAGTGAGGGCCTGTTGCCAAATGAGTCAGAAGGTAGGGTATGAATGTGCATCCACACTACTGAACTGCCAGTGTAAACCAAGAAATATTGGGAATGATAACTGAGAAATTTAAGCTCATCCAATAATATTACAAACTTAATTAAATGTACTTGGCACTGTTTTAGCAGTATCTTTATCTGATATAATTTGGCTCTTAAATTATATATTATAATTTTAGCCACTCATTTGCCAGGAAATTTACAACTTACATTTAAAGAATTCTAAAGCTAAAAAACTTCTAGTACATCGGTAATTATATCACAGATGCTCTAGTGTCAACAATTGCTATCACAGTATTGCTTTATGATGATCAAAAATACTGATTATTTAGAAATTAGATCAAGTGCTTTGAGCAAGTCATTAGAGATTGTTTTTTAGTTCTTATTGGAGACCTCCTTGTTTTCCTTTTGGCTCTTTTTGTCACTCTTACTATCGCTTATGCCAGGTATTCTAGTTAGGGAATTTTGCCTTAATGATGAAGACCAAATTTAGACAGATTATGTAACATCTGACTAATGAAAGTTAATGATGCCAGTGCCAACACAGATTTTCATTAACTTCCAGCAAACCACAACTCTGTTATATGTGGAGCCACTATGATATATTTCCAGAATTTGAAGAAAATTGATTTACCAACTCTGTTCTTCTCATTTTAAAAATGTAAACTCTGCCCTTTGTTTTTTGTTGTTGTTGTTGCTGTTGTTGTTTGTTTCGTTTGTTTTAAAGAACAAGAGTGTGAGCAACCTACAATGGATATGTTGTAGTGGTTTGAAGTTCATAAAATTGACTGTCATCAACCGTGACATCTGTAGGTTTTCCAGATGTTTCAGGTTACAGAGCTCACTAATTTTTTTCCTCTTTGATTAGTGTACTCAACTTCTAATTGTCGTATAGTTTTACTAGACTCCTCTAGAGGAGTGTAGCTGATTACACTACGAAGGTTTACATTACGTTACAAAGCTGATTACAGAGGGGCCTTCCCAGGTGGCTCCAACGGTAAAGAAGCCTCCTGTCAATGCAGGAGACCTGGGTTCAGTCCCTGGGCTGGGAAGATCCTCTGGAGAAGGGAATGGCAACCCACTCCAGTATTCTTGCCTAGAGAATCCCATGGACAGAGGAGCCTGGCGGGCTACAGTCTGTGTGGTCACAAAAGTCGGACACGACTGGGCACGCACACAAAGGCATGGATTACAAAACTGTAAATCTGAGTGGGCAGATTTTATAAGCTCCTACTGTGTATTTTACCTTCTCTCCTTGGCTTACCGATCACTAAAAAGTTTAATATAATAGTTGCAAAGAAAAAAATGATTCTGAAAAGCAGGTTCTTTGCTCTTAAAGACTTCCTAATGGTTACAGTATATGCAGTATATGACTAAATGATGTGAACAAGTTGTTTTTTTTTTTTAATTGTAATCTTTTCTTCTTTGAAATCTTCACAGAACCAGAAATTTGCCACAAATATTCATATGGTGTGAGGGCTGTTGTTCAGTGCATTCCTGCTTGGCTTCGCTTTATCCAGTGCCTGCGCCGATACCGAGACACAAAAAGAGCCTTTCCTCATTTAGTTAATGCTGGGAAATACTCCACGACTTTCTTCACAGTGACGTTTGCAGCCCTTTACAGCACTCACAAAGGTATTCAATGGTTGTGAAAAGATTTTTCAAAATTCAGATTTTCACCACTTGAATCTGTTTCTTAATATGGTTACCTTTCCATTTGTCATGCTTTTTTTCCCCATTGAATTTCCAGTCCCCTCAGTTATAGTAGTTTGTCCTTGAACACAATTTTAGCCTCATTCCAGTATTTACTAACAAGTACCATTGAAAAGAATCAGAGTCATACAGAATAGGAAGGATTTGTGATAATGTTTGAAATCCTGAATTATGTTTATTTAATGGGTTCAATCCAAGACACTTTGGATTTTCATTTGGTTTTTTAGACTTCTTGTTCATTAATGAGATTGGGAAATGCTAGGTGAAAAAGACTCCCTCTGGCAGTCATGTATATTTTTAATCGTTTCCCTTCACCAAGTAGTAGCGTTTGTTTCCAGCCTATTTAACTGCAAATTGAGTTCTCTGATCTCTCTAGTTTCTTATCTCCATGGCAACTAGTTATTACTTGAGACTGTTCTTCTGTTGGGAGGAGAAAAAGGCTTTTAGGTTCTGAGCCACATGCAGTCGCTCCTTTTGAATTTTTAACCTTCTTCTAAGAACTGTCAATCAAAGATCTCACTTGCTTTTACTAAAATGCCTTCCTTCTTTGTTTAAATCAGTGTCAGCCTACACCTTAGAAGCTGCACTCTCATCTAAAGAAATGTTACCAGTTGAAATTACTATAGTTATTTTTAGATAGCTTGATAAAATTTTTTCTGGTGATGTTTAATTGAGATGCTGTATTTAGGAGCCCTGCCTAATGCTCTAGAAGTGCTGCTGTGTGTCTGATGGTCTTGAGAGATGAGGGTGATTTTTTTTTTTTAAAGCTTGAGATTTGGTCCAATAGAACACCTAATTGATACTTCCACTTTTTGCAGTAGATTCCGTGATTGCAGTAATATTGATAATGTAGCCAATAATTTTACCATTGAGGAGGTACTCTTGTTAAATGATATAATTTAACTTAAGTACCTCAGTGAAAGAGTCACATCCTAAAGCTCCCTTACTTTTTTCTTTTATAACTCCTCTCGCATGTGTACTTACTGTTTGGCTAGCTCCTCAGACTCTCCGTTGTCCATGCTTACTTGTTGGCCTGGGATACTTAACATTGTGTACTCAGTTGTGTATTTTAGCCTTTCTGCAGGTCTCTTCCTTCAAGGATTACTCCTCTAAATTTCCAGCCATTCCATCAACCCTGACTCTGTCCTGTAGGCAGTAAGACTGATATTTCTGTTACTGGAGTAGAAGGGGTATTGGGAACACCTTCTAGGCAAAAAAACACAAACTCAGAATTTTTACTCTTTATTGCCAGTGTCTTTCCAAAGTAAGCTCAGGCTTTTTGCCTGCTTTTGGTTCCCAGTATGTTTTAATAGTTATTCTTTTTTTTTTTACTTAACAATATTACATTAGTTTCAGGTGTATATTGTAGTGGTTCAGTATTTTTATACAAAGTGGTCAAAATAAGTCCAGTTACTGTCTATCACCATATCAAGTTATTACAGTATTATTGACTGTATTCCCTATGCTGTACATTAGATCCTTGTGACTTACTTATTTTATAACTGGAAGTTTATACCTCTTAGTCTCCCACACCTATTTCATTCATCCCGTCCCCTACCTCCCCTTTGGCAACCACCAGTTTGTTCTCTGTATATATGTCTACTTCTGTTTTGTTATATTTGTTCTTTTTTTTGGTTTGTTTTTTTAGGTTCTACTTATAAGTGAAATCATACAATATTTGCCTTTCTCTATCTGACTTATTTCACTTAGCATAATACCCTCTATCACCCCACTCCAGTACTCTTGCCTAGAAAATCCCATAGACAGAGGAGCCTGGTGGGCTGCAGTCCATGGGGTCGCAAAGAGTCAGACATGACTAAGCAACGTCACTTTCACTTTTCACTTTTATGTATTGGAGAAGGAAATGGCAACCCACTCCAGTGTTCTTGCCTGGAGAATCCCAGGGACGGGGTCGCACAGAGTCGGACACGACTGAAGTGACTTAGCAGCAGCAGCAGCAATACCCTCTATGACCATTCATGTTATGAGAAGTAGCAAGATTTCATTCTTTTTATGACTGAATAATGTTCCATTCTGTGCATATACCACATATTTATCCATTCTTCTATTGATGGATGCTTAGACTGCTTTCATACCTTGGCTGTTACTAATGAGGCATTGAACACAGTGGTGCATATGTCTTTTCAAATTAGTGCTTTTGTTTTCCTCAGAAAAATTCCCTGAAGTGAACTTGCTGGGTTGTGTGGTATTCCTATTTTTATCTTTTTAAGGAATCTCCATACTGTTTTCCATAGTGGCTGTACCAATTTAAATTTCCACCTACAGTGCACAAGGATTCCCTTTTCTCCACATCCTCTCCAACACTTGGTATTTTTTGTCTTTTTGGTAATAGTCATTCTGACAAATGTAAGGTGATAAATCATTGTGGTTTTGAATTGCATTTCCACGATGATTAGTGATGATGAACATCTTTTCTTGTGCCTGACATCCATCTGGATGTTTTCTTTGGAAAAATATCCGTTCAGGACCTCTGCCCATTTTTAAAATAGGTGTGTTTTTTCTGGATGGTGAGGTGTATGAGTAATTTGTATATTTTGTATGTTAACCCCTTTTCTCACATGCTTAGTCTCTCAGTCGTGTCTGACTCTTTGCGACCCCATAGACTATAACCCACCAGGCTCCTCTGTTAATGAGGATTTACTAATTCTTACCTGTGCTATGCTGTGCTTAGTCACTCAGTTGTTTCAGTCACTTTGCAACCCACCAGACTCCTCTGTCCGTGGGGATTCTCCAGGCAAGAATACTGGAGTGGGTTGCCATGGCCTTCTCCAGGGAATCTTCCCAGCCCAGGTATCACACCCAGGTCTCCTGCATTTCAGGCAGATTCTTTACCAGCTGAGCTATCAGGGAAGCCCTAATTCAGAATTAAAACTAAAAAGTGAGGTATTTACACAGGGGTATACATAAGTATGTTAACTTCAGTCAAAACTTTTTGTTGTTGTGCATCAACTTATTGTGCTTTGCAGGTATGTTTTATTGGGGCTTCCCTGGTGGCTGAGATGGTAAAGAATCTGCCTGTAATGCAGGAGACCTGGGTTTGATCCCTGGGTCAGGAAGATCCCCTCCCAAAGGGAATGGCTTCCCACTCCAGTATTCTTGCCTAGAGAATTCCAGGGACAGAGGAGCCTGGCGGGCTGCAGTTCATGGGGTTGCAACTGAGCAACTAACACTTTTACTTTCACTGCCTAGAGCTGGTTTATATGTGTCTTCCTTTATGGAAATCTTTTAAAAGGGACACTTAAGATCACTTTGCATGTGTATGGTGGGGGTATTGTACCAGGTATCAATTATGAATGTGTTTGGTCTTTTGTTCAAGTAATAGCTGTTTACTGACTGAATTTGATTCATGTGCCCACAGACAAATTTTTAAACACACAAGCATTTTTTAGAGAGAGCATTGGTTGTATAGCCCAACCATATCCCTTAAATTTTAAAAAAAAGTGCCTAACACTTTATATACTTGCAATTAAAAGAACATTATAGTTGCTACATATTAAATATTTCTATCACTAATTTTTCTTTTTACCAAAAAGACAATTCAAAGTAACCTTTGACAGAAAATTTGACATTAAGTGGTGATCAGAAGTAGAATCTGATTTCTCTTGTTTGCTTGGACAGTATTCCAAGGGAAAAGATAGCAGAAAGCAGAGACTTTAGAAATGATCATTGAGCTAAAACAGCAGATTCTGTATGGTTAATGATGTAGATCTTTTTCTATTGAATGTGTATGTCTTATTGCAAAGGACACATTTTCTGAGGGGGGGAAGTGTAGAAAATGGTGAGGTAACCTTGTTCAGACTCAGGAATCTGAGTCCTTTCAGAGAACTAGCCTATAAGAGTTACCATAGTAACAGTATTATTGGGGGCATTTTCAAGATTGTTCCAAAGGTTATGTCCTATGCTGCATGGTTTGTAAAAATGGATGCACAAGAATTAACTCTATACTTAAAACCATTTTTTTTCAAGTGAGGGAAGTAAGTATAATACTGCAGCTAGCCCTCCCTTGTAGTAAGAAGGAAACACACTTTAAATATTTCAGTATATTTTATTTTCCATCACTGATTTTAGAAATGCTCAAAGCCAATCTTATTTTAAGAATCCACTCTTCATTACAAGCCTAAATTAGAAGCCATTCCTACAAGTTTTTTTGTTGGAATTGGTAGTAGAGGAGACAGGAAAGTGTTGTAAATGGTTTCTGTGTGTTCTTGAGGTTTCTTGGCCTTGGCTAGGAAAAGCCAGTGGGAGGTACAATAATAGAAAAACCCATTATGTTATTTCTAATCCATTGATGCAGTGAGAGTACTTCATTAGATTTTCTGTTTTTCATTTACAGTTTCTAACATTCTAAAATATTTATAAATTCTTAGTAGATTTTGCTCTTTGCTATTCTCTGAATACATAGAAGGATAAAAAAGTTCTTTTAAAAATATTTCATATTTTACTTTAGACATTTTTGTTAGCATTTACTATAAGACATTTAAAAATACTTGGGAAAGAGATATTCTTCACTCACTTAAAAGCTGAGTTCATTTGTATTTCTTTGCTCCGTGGTTTTCCAGTGCCCAGATCTCTCCTATCTTCTGGGTCCTGTCGTCTTTAGCATTCTGTAAGGCGCGCTGTGGCCCCTCATGAGGATTCCTCAGCAGTAATTCAGCGCCTTCAGTGCAGAGTCATTTCATTGTTCTGGGTGAGCACACATAGTCCTGAAGTGCTTCCTCTCTCCGGGTATGGCCTGTTGGTTACCCTGTTTCTACCCTGAATAATAGACTTCTATGCCAGAATTTCCAAATTTTAGTCTTGTTACATTATAATAGAAACACAGTTTAGTGTTTTTTTTTTTTTAATCTCTGGGGAAACTTTTGTTTCATTAACTTTTTAAAGACATAAACAAACTTTTAAAA